CAGGGCAAGGCAGGGCAAGGCAGGGCAGGGTGGCAGGGCATGGTATGCCTGAAACCAAGGGAGGCACACTGCCCTCAGGCCCACCCTCTTAGATGATCTTCCCAATATTCCTACATTCTCAGCATCCTTTTCTGTGCACCCTAACACACCTTTCTGTGCACGTTGGCGTGTCCGTGTCCCCGTACCAGCTCACCAATAGCTTCTCCTCTTCCCTTTTGTCCTTTTTCATTCCTCCAGACTCTCCCCCGGGATCTTTTCCTCCCTGTTTGTAGGGCATACTTCCACGCAGAGGGCGCGCAGCTTCAGGATCCTGCTCCCCGGCAATGGGGAACCTAAGCTCTCTTCCCTAGGCCCTGTTCTAGGTGTCTGGAGTGATCCTTGTTTGCTCACACCATTGCCACAGCGGCCAGCTGGGGATCCACTGGACAGGATGCCCACCTGGCAAGGCTTTCCAGTCTCTGCCTTTCATGCGGTCATGAAGTTCCAAGAGCCGTGTGAGCCTTTGACTTGGGCAACACTCCCTTACTCTCTTCCAGGTTCTGCCAGTCCCCTTGCGGCACCAAGTCATTCTACCGGGCACTAACTGCTGCTCTTCTCTGCTGGTAATTTTGCAGCTCTATACAAGTGAGGCTGGGAGAGTACAACATTGATGTGCGGGAAGACAGCGAAGTGGTCAGGAGTTCTGCAGCAGTCATTCGCCATCCTAAATACAGTTCAAGAAGCCTTGATAACGACATTATGTTGATCAAGCTGGCATCCCCGGTGGCCTACAGCGCCGACGTTCAACCCATAGCTCTGCCCAGCTCCTGTGTCAAGGCGGGCACCAAGTGCCTGATTTCGGGGTGGGGAAACACACTGAGCAGTGGCTGTGAGTATCAGCGCAGGCTGCTCACAGGGTAACTGGCCACGCTTCTTCTGCTCTGCCACCGGGTCCGTGAGACCCACCTACGTTTCACCCCTGCTTTGCAGCCTTCTCCTGCTCCAGCCCCGAGTGCCCCACACCGCCCTGCCAGCGTGTCTCAGGCTACAACGCGCTTTGCTTTGCCTCATGCAGGCCAAGCATTTACTTTACCCTGCTTGGCTGGGTGGCTCTCGCACGCACGTCTGCAGGGCTTCCTGTTCACTGGCAGTACTGAGAGTCAGTCCCAAGATGAAACGTACCTCTCACTGCTCTCCCGGCAGCCAGTTTCCCTGAGATTCTCCAGTGCCTGCAGGCTCCAGTCTTGAGTGACCGAGAGTGCCGGAACGCTTACCCAGGCGAGATCTCCAGCAACATGATATGTGTAGGATTCCTGGAGGGTGGGAAAGACTCATGCCAGGTAAGAGCTGATGTCTAGGCAGAGCTCTGGCTCAGACACTTTTGTGCCTCAGGCTCCATGGCATATGCCAGAGCTCGTCAGAGTGCTGAGGCTTCCTCATCTCCAGGTGTGCAGTTCCAATACCGTGTCCTTCCAGTGGGGTTTGGACACAGGGTGGGCTTCCCCCAAAGCCAGCCGGTGCAGCCACACCTGGCTGGGCAAGGAGCGCAGCAGCGGTAAACTGTGGCGGGG